CAGATCTCACTTTCTTCTTTAGAAAACTTTCCTGTTATTTCTAGCCAGGGATTCAAACATAGGAACTATTTTGCTACAGTTCCAAACGGTCGGTGCATACCACATCCTTGTGTGAAAGTTCGGTTTGTGAGAGGAGATGGGGAAACAGATCTCTGTGACATTACTGGGGATATCCTGACTGTTGACCCCTTTTCTTCTTTGAATGCCATTGAAGGATTTCTATGGCCCAAAGTTAGCAGAAAAAAAGCTGAGCAGTCCTCTGAAGCCGATAGCCTGAGGGAGCATCAAGTTAAACTACTCTCAAATGTATGTTCTTACTCTGGTGTTAACCCAGAACTAGTGGGGTCTAACAGCAAGTCTTCAGATTTGCCTGAAATTGAGGTCCCTTCCTGTTTTCTTTTTGAAATATTTGTAATGTTGAGAAAACAATAAACTTCTCTTAAATTGTATGATACTTGAAGTAGGGGTGATTATAATTCAGGCAAATAAGGCCAACATAACTAAATCCATTTGGTTTGAGTTTAATTATTTCAAGTGAAGGAATACAATCATATGAAACTTATGCTATAAGTTGATCATTTTTATAAGCATATACATGAAACCGTGTTATAAGATGGATCAGTTCTAGAATTTGCAGACTCATCCATTGCAAATTTCATTTCATTGTTTTGGGTTCAGCTGATGCATTTTTCTCCTTCCAAGTAAATTAGGATAAATATTATGGTTTCATGCAGAATATTCTCGTGTAATTGGTTGGCTTATGTTTCTTATATTGTCTCTTTGAGTGCCTGCTTAATCCATGATTGAAGCATTGATCATATTCTGTGCACTCATAAATTTATGTTAACCTTGTTTTGGATCAGGCATCTGTAGAAGTCAGCACTGATGAGAAATCACTGGGTTCTGCATCTTCCAGTAAGAAAGGCACGAAGCCCAAATTGTTACTTTACCTTGAGGGAAAGCAGCTGGAGCCCACCTTGACACTTTACCAGACAATTCTCCAACGACACATCAAAGAAAATGAAGCAATATCTGGCACGAAAGTATGGAGCCAAGTATATACAATAATGTATAAACGTGCTGGAGAGGTGGAGGACAACAGTTGTAACCAATTCTTTTCTGGATCCGACAAAGGTGCAACGTTGCATTTCTCTTCATTTTTCTGTGGCATTCTAGATTGTGATCTGCCTTCTGACTTGGCAAAAGAAAGTCCTGTTTATGATGTTTTATTTCTTCTAAGGATCATAGAGGGTATGAACAGAATGGCATTTCACATTATGTCACATGAAAGAATCCGTGCTTTTTCTGAAGGGAGAATTAGTACCTTGGACAATATAAAGCTGTCAGTTCCTTCAGTGTCGCAGAATGAATTTGTAAACAGCAAACTGACTGAAAAACTTGAACAGCAGATGAGGGACTTTTCTGCTGTTTCTATCGGTGGCATGCCTTTATGGTGTAAGGAACTTATGGATTCATGCCCTTTCTTATTTAGTTTTGAGGCAAGGCGCAAGTACTTTCGCATAGTAGTATTTGGCATGCCACAACAGCCATATGTAAGATCATACAGTGACTTGGGAACCTCAAATGGCGTACGATCAAGTTCTGGTGGCTTGCCTCGTAAGAAGGCATTAGTACTCCGCGACAAAATTCTACTTTCTGCTGCCAAAATGATGGATCAGTATGCACATCAGAAAGTACTCCTAGAAGTGGAATATGATGAAGAAGTTGGCACTGGGCTTGGTCCAACATTAGAATTCTATACTCTTGTCAGTCAAGAATTTCAGAAGTATGGCCTTGGAATGTGGAGAGGGGATCACGATGCATTTATACCTGGAAAGAGTCTTAACATTGAGGGTAGAGAAACTATAGAATCTCCATTTGGACTTTTCCCCCGTCCATGGCTATCAACTGTTGATATCGGCGAGCTACAATTTTCTGAAGTAATTAAAAGGTTCACACTTATGGGACAAATAGTGGCAAAGGCCATTCAGGATGGTAGGGTTATGGATATCTACTTCTCCAAAGCCTTCTATAAACTAATACTTGGGCAGGTACCTGCATGAAATTCTTTCAAGTGCATTCCTCGCATCTTTTTTTGTCTTCCATTATTTGATTTCTTGTTTATTCTTGTAGGAGGTGAGTATATATGATATCCAATCATTTGATCCAGAGCTCGGAACCGTTCTGCTAGAGTTTCAAGCTTTGGTCAACAGAAGTAAATTATTGGAATCTGTTTGTGAAGAAAACTCATCGTCTAAACTTGAATTTTGTTATCATGATACCAATATTGAGGATCTTTGCCTTGATTTTACTCTTCCTGGTTATCCAGATTGTCGCTTAACTTCTTCTCAAGATAATTCAATGGTAATGCCAATTTTCACTGTGTATGGTTTTATCCTTTTGTACGGATACTCACAAAATACACTTTGACCATTTCCCCAGGTAAATACAAAAAATTTGGAGGATTATGTCTCTCTTGTTGCAGATGCTACCTTATATTCTGGAATTTCGACACAAATAGAAGCATTTAAATCTGGATTTAATCAGGTCAGATTCACAGTGGCCTCTCTTACAGGAGATTATACTTCCCATGTTCATTTTGCCCGTAATCTTGGGAATGTAGTTTATGATATATAGGTTGAAAGTTATGGAATTCTGTTTAGGGTTCAGATATAGCTTCTTTATTTCATCGATGCCTACAGTGAAATAATTATTAACTGCTTTAATTTCTAGACGTGATACAGGATTACATTTTCTTAAGTGCAGTTGTATTTCTATTATCTCATTCAAACTTTAAGGGTAGAACTAGGAATCCATGGTTGGAAGCTCCTGAATGTGTTCATACCAGTGCCACATTGAGAGTATAAGTCATGATATAGGCTCCATATAAGGAACGGATGAACTGCAATTTTAAGATGCAAGAAACCTTTCAATGAAATGTCACGAGCGTTCTCGTCTTTCTCGTCCTTAAAAGAGAAGACCCTCGACAATTTAGTTGGTTTAAAGAAAATTTATTGATTACCATATAAAAATACACTTCTTTTATTTCCCCTTGGGCATCTATCGGTACCTTCGTGTTCTTAACTGATAACCAGAGTACTTCTTTTCTTACTGTCAACACTCAGGTTTTTCCCATAGAACATCTTCAAGTTTTTACTGCAGAAGAACTAGAGCGTTTAATATGCGGAGAACAGGACTCTTGGGCCGTACGTATATCAGCTAACTGTCTCATTTACTCTTGAAGTTATTATCCATTAACTTGGATCTTTGTCATCATTTGGTGCAGTTGAGTGATCTCCTTGACAATATAAAGTTTGACCACGGATATACGGCCAGTAGCCCCTCCATTATTAATGTTAGTTTCTAAAGTGAATCCTAGCTATTGCTTGGTTCAAATATGCTGCATATTATTAGTTGCCAAGATTCTTACCATTTTTTTTTTTAAAAAAAAAAATTCAGCTGCTTGAAATTATCCAAGACTTTGACAATGAACAGCAACGGGCATTTCTACAGTTCGTGACTGGGGCGCCAAGGCTTCCTTCCGGAGGCTTTACATCTCTCAATCCAAAGTTGACCATTGTCCGAAAGGTCTGTTATTATCAACAAATTCTCTTCAAATATTTGATTCAATTTAGCATTTTTTTTACTCAAATTTCCTTTTTGGGATATTTTTATGCAGCACTCTAGCAATATGGTCGATTCCGACTTACCTAGCGTGATGACCTGTGCAAACTATCTCAAGTTGCCTCCTTACTCTTCAAAGGTGAAGGACTTTTCTAACCTTTCTTATAAAAAAAATTGGTTTTCTTTCCATTACAACAAAAATGGTGACTCCAAATTTGGTCTCTATCTGTTTACTGTTCAGGAGATAACGAAAGAGAAGCTGTTATATGCCATAACAGAAGGACAAGGCTCGTTTCATCTTTCGTAGCTTCAAATTTCTACCGTCCGTAGAAAGTGAAATGGGTAATTATCAGAATAACAAAGGCAGCTGTGTAGATAAGGTGAAAATGGATGAAGAATGGCAGCCAGATTGTGGTGTGGACAAGAGGAGGTTTCTTCATCTGGTTCTGGTGGGTAAGTTCCAACGTACATAAATCTTGTGTACATAGGGTAGAATAAGAGGCTGTACAGGAAATGCAGGGTTTTAGATTTATTATTGGCATGGTCTCCCGTTTTACTTTTTAACCCATGCTGGCACTGTAAATATTTCCTTATAGACCACTAACTCTTTCTACTTTTCATTTATTGTGCATAGCAACTGTGTGGCTTTGACGTTAATCTATTCAATTTTCTGACCAAGCCAAGCATGGTTAGGAGTGATTTTATTCAAAATGATTTCTTTATTTGTAATTTGTGTATAATCAAAAATTGATTTTGAATGAATGATTAAATGTATGTTTAGAAATGAGTTTCAATCATATAGCCTCTAATGCCTTGCCAAAGAATTTGTTTTTCAAATTATAAACTTAATAGAATTTGTTTTGAAAATTGAGATTCAAATCTTATATATCAATATATATATATATATATATATATATATTGAATCATTGAAAAACTCAAGTTGGTAGTCATAAAATGTACCATTAATAATTATTCCTATACCATTTTACGAAACCATAAAATCTGCACTTTTAGAAAGGTCTTTTGTGTTTCAAAACATTTAACAAAAAAAAAAAAAAAAAGTAACCTATTGAAAATATAAAGATTAGCTGAATATACATACTTTCTTCACTCCCTTGGCTTTTATATCTTTTCTTTTCTTCTTTCCAAGTGAAACAATATATTCGCCTGTAGAAAGAATGAGGGTTTATGATTAAAAAAAAAGAAAGAAAGAAAAGAAAATAGAAATAGTATTTAAAATGAAAATTAGAAAAAGAAAAGGAAGAGCAAAGAAAAAGAATGAGGATGATATCTTGAAATAGATATTTATTTGAAAAATTATTGTGAAAAAAGAAGTTTGAAAATAATATCTTCCTGAAGTAGGGACATGAGGACACCACGCGCTCAACGTAGTGTGTCCATAATCCACCCAACAGACCTGGACTTGTGTCCTCACTCCCATTATCTCCTTCTCTAAAACCCCATTTTCCCCCCAATTTTCAGATAAATCCTCCCTCAATCTCTTCCCTTCTATTCCATTCATGGAGCAGCCATGAATCACTGCCGCCGTCGCCGCCTTTTCCTCCGTCACAACCGTCCCCATGCTCATCTTCACTGCCAATCTTAACTTGCACCTCCCTTTAACCTTTCCCCTTCGGCCCTCTCCACCACTCTCCACCACCACTTCCACTGCTGACACCGCCGCTGCCGCTACCGCTGTCCGCCCCTTCCTGGTGCACAGCACCGCCCGTCAAACTAGTTTCACTGACCTCTCTCTCCTATCCGATGCGTCTTCCAGTTCCTTAGAACAGAGACTCTTATCACAGCTACGCCAGAGGAAAACGGATGAGGCCTGGATTACGTATACCCAATGTACTAATCTACCCAGCCCTACTTGTCTCAGCCGTTTAGTTTCTCAATTGTCTTACCAAAACACCCCTTCGAGCCTCACTCGAGCTCAGTCCATCCTCACGCGCCTCCGCCATGACAACCAGCTCCACCGTCTCGACGCCAATTCCCTCGGCCTCCTTGCCGTTGCTGCCGCCAAGGCTGGACACACTCCTTACGCCAGTTCTGTCATTAAGTCCATGCTTCGTTCAGGTTACCTTCCCCACGTAAAAGCGTGGAGCGCCGTCGTCAGCCGCCTTGCAGCTTCACCAGACGGTGGACCTGCAGAAGCAATCAAGCTATTCAGTTCAGTGACTCAGCGCCTCCGCCGGTTTGCAGATCCGGCAATAACAGCTGACTCGCGGCCGGACACAGCGGCCTTTAACGGCGTTCTCAATGCCTGCGCCAACATGGGTGCCTATGAGAAGTTTCTGCAATTGTTCGAGGAAATGGGAGAATTTGGTGCTGAGCCTGATGTTTTGACTTTCAATGTCATGATCAAGCTCTGTGCGAGAGCCAATAGGAAGGATCTTATTGTGTATGTGTTGGAGATGATCCTTGCAAAGGATATTCCAATGTGTATGACGACTTTGCATTCGGTTGTGGCGGCTTATGTAGGGTTTGGAGATTTGGAAACGGCTGAGAAGGTAGTTCAAGCAATGAGAGAAGGGAAAAGAGATATTTGCAGGATTCTCAGGGATGGTAATTTGAAGGAGATCGAAGATGCGGAAGATTTGAATGAATATGAAGATGAAGATGAAGATGAGATATTCAAGAAGTTGCTTCCTAATTTGAATGAAGATAGTGATTCAGAGCCACCGTTGTTGCCAAAAGCCTATTCTCCTAACTCGAGAATTTATACGACTCTGATGAAAGGGTATATGAATGAGGGTCGAGTAGCTGATACAATACGCATGCTCGAGGCGATGCGCAATCAGGGTGATCAATCCAGTCATCCTGATCATGTATCATATACGACTGTAGTTTCGGCTCTGGTAAAGGCAGGGTCGATGGACCGAGCACGTCAAGTGCTTGCTGAAATGACAAGAATTGGGTGTCCTGCTAATAGAATTACCTACAATATTCTCCTAAAGGGTTATTGCAGGTTGCTTCAGATGGACAAGGCCAGGGAGCTGCTTAAGGAGATGGTCAATGGGGCAGGCATTGAACCTGATGTGGTTTCTTATAACATCTTGATTGATGGATGCATACTGGTCGATGATAGTGCAGGAGCTCTTGGGTTCTTTAATGAGATGCGATCGAAAGGAATAGCACCCACCAAGGTTAGTTATACCACTCTGATGAAAGCTTTTGCTCATTCGGGTCAACCAAAGCTAGCGAGGAAAGTGTTTGATGAAATGTTGAATGATCCTAGAGTGAAAGCTGATATAGTAGCCTGGAATATGTTGATTGAAGGGTATTGTAGGCTAGGATTGATAGAAGAAGCAAAACAATTAGTCCAGAAAATGAAAGAGAATGGATTTTTCCCTGATGTTTCTACATATGGCAGTCTCGCCAATGGAATTTCTTTAGCTAGAAAACCAGGTGAAGCCCTTCTGCTATGGAACGAAGTAAAGGAGAGATGTTCAGTGAATAGACATAAGTCTGATTCTTCATCTCCCCCTTCCTTGAAACCTGATGAAGGGCTATTGGATACTCTAGCCGATATATGTGTCCGGGCTGCTTTCTTTAGGAAGGCTCTAGAAATCGTGGCTTGTATGGAAGAGTATGGGATTCCACCCAACAAGACAAAGTACAGTAGAATTTACGTGGAAATGCATTCTAGGATGTTTACTAGTAAACATGCATCAAAGGCCAGACAGGATAGAAGGATTGAGAAGAAGAGAGCAGCTGAGGCTTTCAAGTTTTGGTTGGGTTTGCCCAATTCTTATTATGGGAGTGAGTGGAGATTGGAGCCTTTAGATCGTGATTATTAAATTAAGCCTGGCTTCGGATCATTCCAACTTATTTCTCATTGGTCCTCTACCTCAACCGTTCGGTGTGTCACTGTAGTATATTGTCAAGGATTCCAATAGAAAATAAGGAGGAAAAGAAAATACGAAAAAGTAGAAATATTTATACTGCATATTTGATTTTGTAAAAGTTTTCTGAGGGAAGATAATACATTGGACTGCATAATGCTAATGAAACAAAGTGCTTATTATGTATGTATTTATGTGGCAGTGCGTGTCTACAGTCTGAACTAGTTCATGTGCATTCCAACTTATGGAAAGCTCTGTGACAATCCTAATTTGAATATATGACCTATATTTGAATTCACAATTTATCTAAAGGGGCTTCTTGAAACATGAAAAACAATGCGTGAACTGCAAAGATAATATGGATATTATCCAGCAGAACAGCATCCTTTATGTACCGTTTAAATACTTTTATTCATTGGTATATACTATGCAATTATTTTAGCATCAACTAATAATTAATACGTGCTTGGTATTGTGGAAGAGGCATCTGTAGCCTGGAGACATTGCGGGAGAAAAAATAGAGTAAAAAAAGTATGACCTCTCAATATCGCCCGGTTTTATCCTCCTGGCCTTGCTGACTGACTGGTGTACGATGAGAACAGCACCTGTTTAAAACATGGATGGGTTAGTGCAAAGATTGATAATGATCTGTTGATGCATAGTTTTGTTTTTTAATTGGTTTTATGCTTGCTAAGAGGATTGTGAACTAAACCTGGTATGTCTTTGGCCCCTTATAAAACAGATATCAAACACTATCAAGATTTTCTATGAAGGTAACGATGTCAGCTACTCGACCAATTCTATCTGCCAAGCTATATATTTCCTCCAGGCGATAGCATATGTGGTTAGCTTAGAGACGAATGCGATAGGAAAAACTGTCTTTATGCTGCAACTCTGATTGTTTGTGAGTGCACTCATAAATCACTTGGCTTCTTTCTGTTGACTCATTTCCCCCACTTCGACCAAAATCCAGGACGCCATGTTCATCTGCATACTTGTCATAAAGGGATTCCTTCATTATTTCTACCACATCCTGCAAAGTTAATAATACATATGAAATTAGCACTTAAAAACTCGTGCAAGGTGAAGTTTGTAATTTTCTCATGGAATCCGTGTGATACGACCACAATTCGGTTATTAAAAATCAAGCTTACCAACAACCTTTGTTTTATAATTAGTTTTTTATTCTTCCAAAAAAATCTAAAAAATGGAAATTCTAACGAATATCAGAAACTATGAAAAGAAGATTTTAATTTTTTTTTCCCCATTTTTCATTTTGAAAATTGACAAAAAAAAAAAAAAAAATCTAAAAATGATGACGATGACAGTGTGAAAAACAAAACTAAAAGTGAGTAATAAACAAGCCTAATATTTAAAGACGAGTATGAGTTATAGAAATTAAAATTTGGCTACATCCTTCAATGACTAACCATGGTATCTTGGACTGTAATTTTTTCCCTGAGGTCTACTCGAGCTCGAGCTTCTGCCAGCCTCACCAGACTTTTCAGTTGCCTTGCTGTAACTGGTGTAACATCCGCTCATGATTCTGGTCACGCAGTTGGTAAGTACAATTTCTGCCAGTAGGGCCTACAATAATCTAATGTAAGAACATCTAGCCATGGAAAATGAAACGTAAGAATTCAAGTGAAATTCAGGTTTCGGGCCACAACGCCTGATGTTCTGCAGACATTTTATCAAATTCATCTTTACAGCATCATCCACCATCTACAAGTACCATAGTGATTTTGGAAAAAGTAAATTATCATCACCTTTTAATCATCAGATGAGCATTCATATAAAACGCTCTTCAATCAACTACACTCTGTTATTGTAAAACGTTGAAAGATTAGATCCAATATCGTTCAACTTTTACCAACTTGTGAAATCTATGTATGCAATAAGCCCGAAAGACTTGTGCTATTGCTCAGAATAAGCATTTCCCGGGCTCCGAATGTAAGGATTTATACAGTACTAGCGAGTTAAGGAACAAAAGATTATGAATGACTTCCAAAATCATCAAGCAGCCACAATATTTTGTTTCCACGATTAAAAAAGCAGAGAATCACAACCATTATAAGAACTTATTCCTGGATTTCAAATATAGGAAATGTCGTCTTAGTGCTTAAGAAAAGACAAATACCGACCCCAAAAGCATGGTCATCTTTCCTGGAATCCCTCACAACAGCTACAGTTAGGCCCGGCCTTGGTTGCTGCATTACCACAAAAATAAATACCATGTGTTGAGACAGCTGCAGTCGCTTGCCGTAGTTGATTTTTGCCAAGTCCAGGACAACCTAAGAAATTGACAATGAAAAGTTATCTATGATGTCTGTTCATTGATCACACTGCATTCTTTTCAAAATAATTGTTCAAAATCCAGAAGTGAACATGGGAAAGGATGACATAGAAGCATACCAACATCTATGACATGAATAACCCATCTAACAGGGACTTTATTCTGGTCTTTTGAATGCTTTCGTACACCACCAAATAGTACTAGTGTTATTCCCGCTTTTCAGATTTAAGTTGATCCACAAAATATAGTTAGCCAAAGAAAATGTTGACAATCAGCAATTCTGAATTTGTATAAAATGTTACCTTTAACAAGTTCATGTCCATAGATGGATGAACATAAGGATTGAAGTATTTGACAGAAGACATCCGAACCACATTCCCCAGAGAAGAATTTCATAATAAATTGCAATCTCTTGGGAGAATGAGAAAAAATCAAGCAACTCGATTTCTCTTGCATTAGAGTTAGAATGTTGCAACTCCTCAGGTGTATAGACTGTGACTTGGAATTTTTTATTGAAACAGCCGCCAGATACAAATAGTTGCCTGAAAATATATGAAAAGTTGCTCAATCTGTACTAGTAAAGAATGGTAATTAGAAACCCACAACATAAACACCTGGTACAAGTGTTATAGTGTAATTAAAAAAAATCAATTGATTTCATAACGCAGCAAATAAGTTAAACTATTTTTAGCCCTATGAATTGATATTATCAGACAGTGAGAGTCATCGAACTACTTGTTGGTGCGTGATTGTTTTAGTTACTTTATTTTATTTTTGCACAGGTCTTGGTGTCTGATTTCAATCATTGAAATTTGAAAGTGAAATGACGAAAAATTTACGGAATTGTTAATGTATAGCATAAATATGGTCTCCCCGTTCAAGAAGAAAAATCAATTAAGGTGAACATTACTCAACATCCTAAAACTGTTGAACAAAATAAAAACGTACGAAGCAAAATTTATTTTCTGCTTATATAATGAAATTCCTAATGAATAAGATATAGATGTATGTACTTGCAAGCAAGAAAAGTTTAAACAGATCCTAAGGGCCAAAGAAAAACATCTGACCCGTCAACTTTTACCACCCATGGGGAAATATAGAAAATACACCAAGTTTGGAAGAAATATTGTACCTCCTCCAATATCCATGTAATGATTAATTACTCTTATAATTCAGTAACAGTGATAAAATCTCCAGGGATGCCTGCATCAGCTAGATCTCCAGTCAGTTCACATCTACAGTTCGAGGCACCCCGACTTCTTCATGGTCATCAGATTTAGTGAGTTCTTACAGCCTGGAAAGATTTAAGAAGAACCTAATATTTACAGTAGAAGGAAAATGACGGAAAATACACTCAAGAAGAAGGTGTAATTAATGAAACTAAAAATGAATTGAGAGCATATTCAGCATTTAGAAGTTACCGTATTTTTTGAGAGTGGTTGCTTCAGCACTAGTTCGAATGGGATTGAATGTTTTGCTTTTACACCCATCCAACTCACAAATGATGGAGGTGAAACCTTACCATCAGGAAAGATGCGATCAATATTGCTTTTACACTATGCACAATCAAGGTTCATTTGCATCACCAAAGGCTTGAGAGTGCTAACTTTAACAAAAATAACGCGCACTGATACAAGCTTGTCTGTCATGTCTCAAAATAATATAGCCTACATCATTTCCTTGAAGTAAACTTCGGACTTCATAATAAATTTTTTAGAAGCTAACAAGTACCAATATATGACGCCTTCAAGTTCATCAAAGCAAGCATAGATTCTGAATAGTTGTGCAATCGAACTAGGATTTTCGTGACGTCTTCTAAATTGTGCATCCATTCGGTCCTCCTTACCTGCTTTAAAGACGAGTTAAGCATCCTAAGCTGAAACTCTGAAAGTATTTTATAGTATATAAATAGAGAATGAAATTCTCGCAATAATTTGTGTTTACCTGTTGAATTGCAGCACTCATACATTTGAGAACAACTTTAGGATTTTCCTTTAGCATTAGGTAAAATCCAGGTTGATCGCAAGTCTTCCGGGACTGTTGAAAGTCGATAGACAAAATAGAGATGACACAATCATCACCGATAGCCTGTTAAAATAATTGAACGTCAGTTCCCTCCTCCACATGATGCTAAGAACAAGTGAGAGGAGCATCGATAGGACTTAGTCAGCTACTTTTGCAAAACAGATTGAAATGTTTTTGCATTATAAAGGTGAAAACGCGATGGATATTGGATATGAAACGAATCCAATCTACCTAACAATATTTACATTAACTACGCTTCGTTTCAAGTATAGTAGGAGGAGATGTTGATTACCAGCGGTTACTGACTTAGACAAATGAAAATCAGTTCCTCCAACCTAGAAACGAGGCATTTCTAGTCTCTGTTATAGTGCACAAGAAAAGCGTACGGAGATATCTATTGACCCTAAAACAGTCTCAAGATTCAATAGGAAATCGATGTTGCAAAATCAACTGAATCGCGCAAGCTGGAAGCGACCTTGCAGGAGCTACCTACATCCAATTCTTGATGCAAGAACATATCTCGAACAATTAAAACCCGCGCCACAGAATTTCGTCAACTTATCCCAACAAAACGAACAAAAATGAAAAATCAAACTCAAACGAGAGAGAGAATCACCTGTGAAGCGAGATGTCGACCTGCGGGAGAAGAAAAAGGAAAATGAGCTTGAGCCATCCATTTTCGACAGTGAAGACAACGCGGGAAACTCCCGCTCCATGCGTGTCTTCTCTATGTATGATTCGTCCATTTTTGGCGGGAAAGATAGAAGGCAGCGGTTTAGTTTAGGAATGTAGACTGGGCCGGCCATGGGCCCACCCGATGCGTTTTAGTTTTATTTTTGAAATATTTTTGAATTATCATTTATCTCATA